CTTTTAAGTTGCATTACTGAAATAAATGAACTTTTGCACGATATTCTAATTTTTCGAGTTTCACCTGTATTGTTGTCTTTTTACTGCTATGGATAGGATGGGAAGGCTTGAGAATTTTCTGCCTCAGAGGTCAAAACAACTTGGCTAGTTGTGGGAGCTTTGCCCTTTATAATCCGAACGGATGGGCTCTTATTTGTTGTGTCACCTTCGCCTCCACGACAGCCTTTCTTGGGTGCGCCAGTGGGCTTATGGGGACAAAGCAAGCTTTATCTAAAGAACAGAAAACCAGTAGGCACCAGAAAGCCAAGAGAGGACATGGCTTATCAGAACAAGGAATTACACGGGCAAAACTTGTTTTCTCGCTAGGATGGCGAGAGACGAGAAAAAGCTGAAGCCGGGGAACGCTGTAATTGGAAGGCCTGTGGATCCTGATGGCGTATAATAGCCATAATGGAAATTACAAAGGCCCTTCTTCCCCGTCCGGTTTCGCTGCCGGCTCCCCGACAAGGCAGAGCTATTCCCGCCACGCCGCCTCCTTCGCGAAGGACAACAAAGAACTTTTGAAGTTGAAGAGGAAGCAACGGGGCTCAGGCGCGGCCTTCTCAAGGCTCCGTCGCGGGGACCAGCCCGGGAGTAATGAAAGGTAATTGGCCGGGTTGCGCGCCATCTGCAGGCTCCAAGTGCCTCTAATTAAGTTGCCGTCTTTTTTTTTTTTGTCTTTTTCTTTTTGCCCTTCCTAATGCACTGCCTTGCCGCGGGGAAACGGCCACGGCGTGTGGGCGGCTCCTGATCCCCCCCCCCCGAGGGGAGTGACGAGGCGCGCCAGTAATATTGTTGAACCGCGGCTCATAAATAGCCGAGGAGAAGCAGGCTTGGGACCGCGCCGATCTCCCTGCCTGGCGCTCCCCGTGGAGTTCATCTCTGGGCTGGCACCCGAGCCATGCAGTGACTGGGGAGATCCGGTAGAGAGCTCGGCCCAAGGACCTCTGCCCTTGGCTTCGCTTCTCCCAGCTGCGACCCAGCAGGCAAGGGCACCGCTAAGCTCCGGGGCAAGGTACTTTCCTTCAAGACACCCCCCCCAACTCTCCTGTCCCCTCTCCCACTTCTTTTTCCGTCGTCTACTCCAACTTTAGGCTAAGAAACACGTGCTAACTTCTAAGATCAGGGGCTCCTTTAAAACATCCATAACACTTGAGAATCCTGGTCGCTGGGCCATTCCCACGAAGGGTCTTGGTCTGTCTCTGGAAAGGCAGAGACCCTCTTGGGACCCGGCTTGTGGGGGGGGGGCGGGAATCGGCGGGGGGGGAAGGAAATGATTTCGGTCTCCTTTTAGATGCAGCGGCATCCCGGTCTCCTGTTTGCCGGCTTGATCTTTTGTGCTGCTCTCTCAGAGACGTTCGGGCTGGTTTTATCCGTAAGTAACGTAAGTAACGAAATGTCCTCTGCAGCTGCTCGCGCGTCTTTCAGCGGACTACTAGAGACCCGTAACACGTGCTCCGACGTTACCTCCTGGTCCCTTGTCAAAGCCAGGATGTCACTGCAAGCGCGAGTCGTGGCTGTCTCTTAAATGACACACTCGGGGATGTCTGTCTCTTAAATGCACGTGTAAGGAGAAAAATCACTGGCGAAGATTTGATAGGTCCAACTGCGCAGGAGGAAGCAATGTGTTGAAGAACAGCAGAGGGACTGAAATGAAAAGGCCGTAAATCTTTTGACAAATTCAGGAGCAGATCTAAGATTAAATCCTTGCTACTGAGATGTGTATGTAATATTTAACTGTAACTCCTAAGCACTTTTATCCAAGGGAAGTCATTAATTCCTTATAAAGTTTGTGGAACTTGCTTCTGGGTTTTCTGAAATCCTAAATAACTTGGAAAACTAATTCTTATACACAGTTGGTTTATTTCTTATGATGTACAGCTTGTTTTTAAAAGTATCCTGTGTAAATTCTGGTATAAATACTATAGCTTGTGATTAATTTATTTTTCCAAATATATAGATGTTATTTTAATGAAAATTATGTCCATTTAAGTTGATAATTTTATTTTTCCAAGATGGTGTTTCTGTTTTAAAAGAAATATTGGGTAATGCTGGTCTGTACAAAATTAATCATGCATTTTCCTTCTGTAAGGCTAAAGAGAAAAGGGGATGGACTATGAATAGTGCTGGCTATCTGCTTGGCCCACGTGAGTTAAACATTTAATATACATTTAAAACAATCTGGAAGAATGTTAATTTCTATAGCTCTTTGCATATGAGTTGAAATGCTAGAGAAATGAGAAATATATGCAGTATTTTATATTAGTTCTCACCCCTTGCTTGATGGGAGAGGGTATGAAATTTCTCAGTTACAGCTTTCCCTACTTGGTTTAACCAATTTCCAACTGAGTACTTTGAAGGAACAAGTCCTCAATTACCTCACTTGAACTCTTGAGAGCAAACTAATTTGACATAAGCACCATTTTCACTTCCAGACCATGTCAATGCATTAATCTGATGTACCAGTGTTCCCTGGATATACTGATCAACTTTCCAGTTCCATTCCATCTCATAAATAGAAAGAATATAGTTCTTGAAAATGTTTTTTTTTGTTATTTTCAAGCTCGTTCTTTCTATTTGCCCTTTTTTTCTGCAACTGTCTAGTAAGAGTCATATATTTTAGACTGCCTGAAATATTTGGGACATTGGTGGTGCCGTTATATCCCAAGTAGCAGAATAAGCAGTCAGGTAATACACAGGGCTGCATTACACTTTTGAAGTGAAGCAATGCATAATACTTAGTAGGATTGAGGAATAGGGTTTGGTCAAATTGTAAAATTATTTAAGTGACTATTACAGGCTGGTAGAAGATATTTATGTGAGTTCGCCCTTGGTTATTGCTGCATACATGACAAATAATTTTGTTAGCCATGACTGGGCCAATTAACATTTTGGTAGGACAGGAGGCAAAAATTATACACTTATACTTACAAAGCATTTGTAAACATCATTTGCTTATCCTTAAAAATCCAAATGATATTCTAGTATAGAAATAAACAACTATGCATAGATAAATGTTTATACATCTGTTCCCATAAGCTCCGGTCATCAAAGTTAGTGGCAACTATTCAAAACTTTTGGAGGGCACCACTTTGGGATAGTTGAAACATTGATCGTGTTTTTTGCAAGTTTCTTTCAACATAATTGGGTCTGCACAATTTTTAGAAAAGCACAATAAAAATTAGCAAACCCCCCTCCAGTTCAAACCACTTGATTGAAATTGGGAACATCTTTTCAACTTATCAGCCCTGTAAAAACATAGCAGACATAACAATGTAGAAAATGCTACGTTGCCTCATAAAAGATGGTGTGGAAATTCTCCCAAAGAGTTTACAGTACTGTTGAAGAAAAGTGATTTTTCCATTCAGTAGAATAGCTGAGAGGATGGCAGCTGCTGTTTGCTAGAAAAGCTGTGAAGTTCTGCATTAGCAGGAACTTGGGTAAGGTTTCTCTAGCCCCCCCTGCCCCCCAAAATGTTTTGACAAAAATAATACAATATATAGAAGCTACTTATCATCAATTCATATGAAATGAGGCTATATAATATCACACTTTCCACTTTCGTGTGATCAGGTGGAAGGACTTATTTGTTTTCCCAATAAATTTCTCTAACTTCCCAATAATCAGAGTTATATTTGCTTTAGAAAATTAATCTATACGGATTGAAAAATAAAGGCAAGGGGGAATATTCCCTTTAGCCCAAGAACCTGCCGTTTTAATAGGTGCAAAAAAAACCCTTGTTCTTGAAAGGCAATTCTGAGTGGGGGACAGAATAATTGAACAGGACATCTGAGCAATTTTGTTTTTATTACTTTTTAAAACAACTTCCATTGTTCATGATACAAATAAGTAAACAATACTTTTTTAAAACAGTACTTATAGGTTAGAGAAGTGGGCTGCACATTACAGTTTGAAATTGAATGGAGACAAATGTAAGATTCTTCACTTAAGAAAAAAAAATGTAAGGCAAAGATTGACCAACAGACAGTATCAATCTACTTTGGTAAACAACGTGCATGAAAAAAAACCTTGTGGTGTAATTGATGGCACTGAATATGAGTCAGCACTGTTCATTGTAGCTAAAAAGGCAAATGTGACTTTAGGTGACATCAACAAAAAAATAGTCTCCAAATCACAGGAACTAATGGTCCTGCATTAGTTACCTTCCCAGTACAACTAATGTGTCCCGAGAAGTGCAGAAAACAACAAGGAGGAGGATTGGAGACTGGAAACAAAGTTGTATGAGAAGACATTGAGAAAATTGGGTGTAATTATCCTTGACAAAGAATCAGGAGTAATGGAAACATGATAACACAGCATTTTTAAGGTATCTGGCAGGACATCATCTAACAAAGTCATTTTTTACCATTATCATTTAGAGGGCAGGACACATACTAATGGTGAAAGGTTTCAGGAAAGCAGTTCTGCTTGAATTCTAGGAAAGATTTTAACCCAGCAGTTTGACCATAGAATCGCTTCTCAGAGAAAATTGTGAATGTCTGGCATTGAGTTTGTTCAAAAAGAACCTGGATGGCCTTCTGTTGGCGATCCTTTTACACAGACTTGACAGCCCAATTAGCCCTTTTGAATTCTATGATTCTGTCCCATTATGTATCCCTTGCTAATCAGCAGCTGGATCAATTGAAGCTAATTTTGGGAGTGGTATATAAATATATGTAATACATTAATTAAAAGTATTTCAGGAGAGCAAACACGCTACAGGCATCCTTTGCTATCCGATGTCTACATTGGACACACTGAGCTTATTCAATATTTGGATTACATTATTATGTCTGGACACTACTTTAAAACCTTATAATGGTATCTGGGTGCCAATTACTTACAAAAAGAAAGACAGGATTAATATATTGTCTAAGAGAACAGAACTCAAGTATTTTTTTTCTTGGAACATTGTATTCTGTTTATGTTGGGTTCAAATGAATCGTGGAAAAATGGAATGAAAGATGGCCAAACCTCCATGCCTTACAAAGGAAATCTACTTTTTAAGTTCAATTTTTACTAAGGATAGATAATAGCCATGAAAACCCCATGAAAACCCCATGGACAGTACTATAGTAGAACGTTGTCCATGGTGTCGCGGTGGGTCGGACACAACTTCGCAATTAACAACAACAACAACAACAAGGTAATAGCCATCATCTGTTTCAGGTCGTATTGAACAGCTCCTCAAGGAAATGCCCAATGCAAGGGGGAGAGAAGAGCCACCTGGGGAATGTAAGATGGCTTTTGGAGGCTATTTGTGTAAACTAACTGCAGTTTACTGTCAAAATAAATCTAATATGTTTCTTAAAACCAAAGGAAGCAATCACTATGCTACATGTTCTCAAGTAAATAGACTGAACCCAAGGCAGCACACTATGTGCACCCAAATATGTCCACCTTTTTCAACCAGAGCAAACAAATGGCTATAAAGTGGCTATTGTATCAGAAATGCTTTTCTTTAATTTAGTGGCAATGGCTTAATCCCATATTTGGCTGAAGACATTCACATTATACCAGAGATGAGCAAGCTGTGACCTTCCAGGCACCATTGAACTTCCATTCCTAGCTGCTCAAGCCAAAATGGTGAAGAATGAGAAATGTTAGGAGTGCAGGCCAACAGCACCTGGAAGGCAACTCCTTGCTTGTCTTTTCATTATACCAACAGCTGCATGATTACACCCAAACTGTGACATTGTGCTGAATTTGCTGGTGTTGTATGCCAGTGTTGCAATAGGTTAGACACTTTGCTTTACAGTTAGTGAAATTTTCCCCCCACTCATTCAATGTGCATCATTCCATCAAAAACTATCTGTTACATTTTTGTTCAGAACCTTTTTACCTAGTGGGGAGATATCTCACAATAGGCTGGTGAATGTTAGAGTAATAAAACCTTATCTCATCTCTTGCTTTATTTACAGATGCAATAGACAGAATTTTTAGTGTCAAGCATGGTTTAGCTGGTAAACGTGACATAAACCTCGAAGAAAATGTAAAAGCAGGTAACTTTTCTTCTTCTAATACCTTTCTGCTATATACTTCCAAGCATATCTTAAAAGCTGCTCCTGATTTCTTCTTTCCTAAATCACGATGCACAACTTTTCTGCTTGACGAGCTGCCCTTTTATGTGGGTCTTATTTTAATGAAACATGATGAAGTCTATTAAAGTGGGTAATTTTATTTTCCTAAGATGGTATTTCTGTTTTAAAAGAAATATTGGGTAACATGTACAAAATCAATCATGCATTTTCCTTAAGTTTAAGCTGGGCAGCTATATCACCGACAGTAGAAGTTAGGAGTAGAGTGAAGTACAAATTAGATTTCATTGTATTTAATTAAAATTAAATAGCTAATATGATCATTGTCATTGTGAGAATTGACTAACTTGCCCAGTGAGTCTCTCATGGTTCCTTCTTTTCTCTCTCCTCTGATCACCTTGAACACCCTCCTAATCTGCATGGAAAAAGTTCCTGGAGTGTGGATAGGGAATCTACTATGCATTGTCTATGCCAGTGTTTCTCAACCTTGGCAACCTTAAAATGTGTGAACTTCAACTCCCACATCTTAAAAGTTGCCAAGGTTGAGAAATCCTAATCTATGCAATGCATTCTTCAGGCAGAAAAAATCTGTATATACTGTATAACCAATACAGTGTAGAAATATAAAATAAAAATAATTCCATCCACAGAAGAACAGTTTACATTTTAAAATAATATGTAGATAAAAAAGTTAAAGCTAATCAAAACTTTCTATTAAAGATTATAAATTCCAGAGGATACCCCCCTGTTTTTTTTATAGTTCATCCCCTACATTTGCTTCGAGCAATTAAAACATTGTTCATAGAAACTTATCCTACGTTAATCCTTAACTCCCACTTTTATCTAGTCTTCTCACTTTCATTCTCTCATGTAATACTTGATTTTTCCCCCCAGATACTTCCACAAGACTGCTGACATATAACAATATTATGCGTACAATAATTGAATTCTTGGCCTATCTACATCTTAAAGGTTAGTAGTTTCTCCCATATAAAGTGAATAGTTATGCTGCTACTTTAATAAAGGGACGTACAAAATTGCATGTACAAATTGCTGATGTTCAGAGCTCAAGTTATCCAGTCATGAGGGTCCCTAAGAAGAAAATAACAATTTAGTGTCCATATAGTAACATGTACTAGCTTCCCATTCCAGCTAATAGTCAGTACACTATTGTTTGAGAAGCCATTGTAATGCTTCATTAGTCAATAGGGAAAGCCAGTCCAGGATTATACAGGGCCTACAAATAAAAATGAATGAAATTATTAGCTCTTAGCTTATGTTGTGTAAGGGTCACATTCATTCTACAGAATGGATTTTCCAATTTAGAAAATCTAATCTGATGGCCCCTGGGATTTGGAATGTCTTTGCTCAGTTTAGGTTAGTGCCCCAATCCACATGCCAGTTGTTGGTCTTCTTTAGATTGACAAAACCTGATCTTGATTAACTGTTGTCTACAAAGCTCTCAATTGTTCAGAATTAGGCATGGGTAAGATTGACTGGGATAAAAGTTTTTGAATATTTTAGCGTGCTATTTTTCCTTTGCCTTTATTTTCCATGTTTTGTTCTACTAGATTTCAGATATGGCAAGTAAGGTTTCTTTTGAGGGTCCAAATAGAAAGAATCAATCATCAAATATCAATTGATAATTAAAATTGTCAGTATTAAAATTGTTAATTCATTAATATAAATAAAGATGGATTATAAAATGCTGTTGGCATTTCAGCTCTGACATTAGTAAGCATCTCTTCTGTTTTAATGTGTTTTTGAGATATTGGTATAAAAATGAAAAGAGACATACAATATCAAATAGAGAGAAAAGCATATTGAATTACAGCTTTTCAAAGATAAATGATTCAGTGATAAATAACTTTTCAGGGGCATTATGTTGAAATATTTGGGGGTATGTATTTATCCCAAAATTACTTTCAAATTTTTTTTAGGCCATGTAATCTTTTTCCTACCTTTTTTCTAAGGTAGAAAATTATTTGTAAGAAAAAAATAATAACAGGAAGATGAAAGGCTAAGGCTGTAATGGCAAGTGTGATAAAAGCACTGTTATCAATGAAGCAATAATCTCTTGAGTCAAAGCCAGCCAATTTTGCACAATGTATTTTCCAGTAGGGCCCTAAGGTTACTTTCAATGCATCAAAGCTCCTCACTGGCTTCAGGTGAATACTGGTAGAAATTACAACTGAAGAAGTAAAGAGGCAACAATCTATTTTTCAAGATTAAATTCATAGCATGGGGATGTCTTGATTTTTCTGAGAACTAAACTGTGCAAAAGTCTTCCCAACATTATTTTGTAAAAGAACAGTCAAGGTCATTGGGTGCTTTCCCCCTGTCTTGTAATGCAAACACGCTTTTACTTTTTCTTTCTTGATGCAGAAGCTGGGGCTCTTGACAACATAGCTACAACAGTTTCTTCAGAAGAAAGAGATCAGTCCTGAAAGAGGTTGCATTTATACTCTGAATTGATCTCATCTGAACCCTGAACAAAATAAGACGTTATTTATTGTTTACAATGATCTTACACTTCGGCTGATTGTCAAGTTCTTTTCTCCCCAGTGATGTTATAAGATTTACCTTTAATAAAAACAATTGCTTTGGATAAATGACAATAAAAAAAAATAGCAGCTACTTCTTGTGCTACCTTTCCTAGAATTGGGGCTTCTGTTCTTCTTTTAAATCTCTTTCATTTCAGAGGAAGCGAAGGTGATAGAAGAAATCTCATTTCACTTTAAAGCAAAAAGACAGACAATAAACAATTTAATTTGATCTTTGACTGTAAATTCATTTAAAAATGAACAGATACTTATTTCAAATAATAGAAATCCTCTCTGGGTTTCCTTCCAAGAATTTACGGCAACTCAACTGAAACAATATCAAATTATAAAGTCATCCTTCATAGCACGGAACGTTTCCTATGTGTACAAGCTCTGTTAAATCTCTTCATATACAATTTACTTCAAGCGAGATGCTGTGCTGAATCCATCCATTAGCAAAGTGCACCCATTCTTTAAAAAACCATAAACAATATAGCACTGCAGTGGGAGAGATTGCTTGTTCTGTTACAGACTACACAAAACAGGCTGTCAGAATGTTACAAATATATTGCATTATCTTCCATTGTTTTCAGACTTGAATGATGAACTGGGGAGAAAACTGTAAATTTGTAGAGCAAACAACAACGATCCAACTGATACACCGTTTTCTTTGGAAAACAACCCTTCAAGAGGGAAGAAATATTGATGGAGCTGGTTTTGAGAGTACAGCTTTTGAAATGCAAAAACAGGAGTAGTGAAAAGAATGAACTGCCTCCTTTCTCTCTTGTATTATATTAAATATTTGACATTTCAAAAAATAAAAAGGCTCCAACCTGAAAAGGGCTACAGATAGTCTTTGAGATATGACAGTCGCTTAATAAACTTCGAAGTTCCAAGTTACAACAGGCACCCCAAATTTACATATGACCCTGTTTCAAAGTTATGACGGCTGCAGTGCCCCTGCAGTCATTTGCTCTTATGCCTCTATCCCCCAATCCCACCCCACTGGGATCCACAGTGCTTGGACCTGGTCCCCATACGTCCATCACCCATCACACCTTTTGAAGCTTTCCTGACCTTATTGGGGAATGAGGGCAGACCATGTGTCCCAGGGTTGTGCAGAGGTGACCCAAATGTGGCCACCATTTTCTCCCACCTGCTTGTATGCTGGGATAAAATGGCAGCTGCCAGACAAGTTACTTCATTTTGCTGCCGAACAGTCAGCACAGTGCTGCAGAAATGTGTGCAGGAGAGTTTTAGTTAATGAAATGCATTGGATTTCTGGATGCTCCTATAGTCCTTCTATTTTCTAACTTTCTCAGGCTTACAAAATTGAATGGATAAAGCCTTTTCTTCTCATAACATTCCCAGAGGAATTATGCTAATACAAATATGAAAATTGGAAGATTTAACTAATTTGTGTTTAGATATTTGTTAGGGCAGTATTGGGACATCTCATGACTCACATGGCTCTGCCCCTGTATTGGGATATTCAAATTAAAAAAGAAAAAGTTAATAACATTGAAAATGTGCTACTGGGTTGCAGTCAGAAATATTTTATTTATTTATTATATCTCACCTTTTGGTCACCCTAGATGAGCAGAATAAAATATGTGTTGAACACTTCCATGAAACTCTTAACCAGCCAAACCCATTCAGTATATATAACTTTAATGAAGAGTGTGTTCAACAAGAGCTTCAGATGAATACTGGTGAAATTACAGCTGAACAAGTAAATATGATGATTAGAAGCCTTAAAAACAACAAGGCAGCTGACTTAGATGAGATCTTAAAATATGGTGGCCAGGCTGTGGTGAAATAACTGACAACATTGTTTAATAAATGTTGGCAAAATAGTGTAGTTCCAGAGGACTGGTGAAGAAGGGATATTATTAAAATCCCCAAGAAAGTTAATATCTCAGAATACACCAACTAGTGGGGCATTACCTTTCTCTCGGTGCCTGGAAAGACCTTTTGCATAATTCTCCTTAGACGATTGCAAAGTACCATATACCAATGTCTGAGAGAAGAACAAGCTGGATTTCGCTGTGGAAGGTCCTGCTGTGAACAAATCTTCACCTTTATGAAATATCATAGAACAGAGTGTTGACTATCGACATTCTCTGGCCATTAACTTTATTGACTTTATGAAAGCATTTGACAATTTCTCTGGCAATTTCTATGTTTATATAGTGTACCAACAATCTCCCCAAGATGGCAATCAGATGGACCTGCCAGATGCCAAGCAACTAAGACAGGCATGTCAAACTCGTGATGTCACGTGACGTCGCACGACGTATCGCGACTTTTTCCTCATTGCCGGCAATAGGGTGGGTGTGGTTTCGGCGTGACGCATCTGGCTCGCGGGCCAGCAGTTTGACATGCCAGCACTAAGAGGACGCCCTCGAAATGCATGGCAAAGAATGTTCATAGAAGACTTAAAGACTCTAAACATCACGTGGGAAGACGCTGAAGTACCCACCCAAACCCCAGAATGTTGGCCAACCCTTGCTGACTGATATGCTACATAACATAGGAGGACCTAATGCTAAAATAACTCCCCTTTATTATTACAATCAACTCACATATTCAACTCACCTTCCTCCTCCTATTTTCCCCCCAGCAAGGTCACCCAGCTGGCTTTCATGGCTAAGGCAGGACTAGAATTCACAATTTTCCACTTTCTAGCCTGGTGCCTTAACCACTAGACCAAACTGGCTCTCTTTTTAGGCCTGATATCCTGGAGAAGCATATGACTATTAAGTGGAAAGTCCTAGAGGTCATAGTAGAGAGTGTAAATTACATCAATGTGAGAGACAGGTAGTCCTGTAATGGAGTCTGCCCATTACAATTGTAAAGTGGGTCACCACATGACCAGACTCATTTTTATGATCTTTTATGTGGCAGTTGTTAAGCAAACCTATTATTTGCTATAGTCCGTTTTTGCTGAAAACGGGAAATGCTAATTTTCAGCAAAAACATAGTTAATTGCGATTACATGATCACAGGATGCAGCAAATGGCTGTAAATGCAGGCTGGTTCCTAAGCACCCAAACTGCAGTCACTTAACTTGGTGTGTGTGTGGGGGTTTGTAAGTACCTTTTGGGTGGTCTGACATAATTTTGATCACTACGCAACAGATCATAAGTCAAGGACTTACCTGTATTAGACATAAAATGGAAAAAATGTCAATCTCTCCAAGTTTCGATCAAAAAGGCAAGCTCATAAGTCTCCTAGGATAGCAAGATGTCTTTTCATTCTTTCGGATGAACAGTATGCTCATATTATTTTAATTTCCCTTTGAACAATGTAGTCATTTGAATCGTATCCTAAATTAACAGAAAACAGTGAAACATTTTACGAGGAAGAATTATAGCATCAGGTGCTCTTTCAAAATTGTGCTTTGTAAAGCAGGCGACATCCAGTTTACATTTTTCCTCAGAGAAGAACCCTATTTTCTTTTCTTTGGCAGATTTGGACATAGAGGAAAAGGATGAGGAGCTGTTCTTGCAGGAGAGACACAAAACAAGAAATTCAATTGAAGAACTGCTGAGTAAACACAAATGGCATAAGAATACCTTATTTCATGAAGGAGGGCCCTCACTGAACATTGGCTTATTGTAATATGACCTCATTAAACTTAGGGGAGGCAGCTACAGCAAAGAGAATATAACAGAAAATACCTTGAACTCAGTGTCTGACTGATTTTCCCCCCCTTTGATGCTTTCTAAATTGGAGTCACCAGGGGGTATTGTTGTGCTAGCAAAATACAAAGCTGCAGGTATAGTTCATTTTGGAGCACAGTAGGTCAGGTAGAAGCAAAGGGACAGTGGCCTAATTAGACTGTATACATAATACATACAATTATATCATTTTCTCTAACTACATATACAGCTGGGAATGAAAAAGAGGTACAAGATAGGCACCAGAGCTACTTCATTGTGAATAATGAGTGAAATTAATTGCTACCAAAAAGTTGCTTCATCGATTAAACTTCACCTTGTATAGAAAGCTAACCAAGGATAAAAGCAAGAGTATCATATGTATTGATTGTTCTCTAAGCAATGAAATAGGGAATCTTCAGAACTTACAAAAGTCTGATTGCTTAGGTTTTATCTTTAGCAATTTACTTAAGCAAAATTTCAAACCACAGTGGCCACTTCAGAATCCTGGCAGAAGTGCCTTTATGAGCAACCACTTCAGTCTTCACACAAACATCCACTGCAATCTAACAATATGGTTAACTGTGTATGACTTCTACTAAACTCCATGTCAAGATTTAGTACCAATTTCTTTTAATATTCTTTTAAAGGAAACCTGAGTTTTGTCTACAGCCCGTGAAAGTGGGGCCTACATTCCTGCTGCAAGCTCAGCTGCCTTTTATCTGACCATTACCTTGGTTCTATCTCTTTGCCCTGTCTCCAAAGGTCAACCCCACATACCATTGCAGAACAGATTCTGAAGACCATATACAAAGGCGGGAGGGATGTCATTTCCCTCTTTATGTTTGCAATGTTAATTTATGGCTTCTCAAATCTCTCCTTAATAACTCTTCCCTAGAACAGGGCTTTTCAACCTTTTCACCAATTGTACCATTTTTAGGATGTGCAATATTTGAGTACCACCAGTCGCCTTGCAAGGTGTCAAAAACGTGATGACCCAAAAAAAAGAAGGAAAAAAAGTGATAGTCCTCGACTTACAACAGTTCACTTAGTGAACTGTTCGAAGTTACAACGGCACCAAAGAATGTGACTTATGACCATTTTTCACACTTTCAACAGTTGCAGCATCCCCAGGGTCACGTGATGTACATTTGGATGCTTGGCAACTGATTCATATTTCTGATGGTCACAGTGTCCCAGGGTCATGTGATCCCCTTTCGCAACCTTTTGACAAGTAAAGTCAATGGCCCAGGGGCGTGGCCAGCTCAACGTCACCTGTGGGGGGGTCTGAGCGGGGCTGTGGG